TTTTTAAAGTAATTTTGAGTTTTGTTCTACATTTTCTCCTACTCTATCCGGGACCTTCTAATGTGATGATCCCTTTCAGAGCTGTTGGTAGTGGTAGCCCGGCACCATCTAGTTCTTCTGGTCTTATTTTCAGGATGACTGATGTTCACATGTTCCTTTGGTCCATTGGACTAGTTGATTCCAAACATCTTCTTTTTCCATTACTCTTCATTCTTCCGCAAATGGAGAGATCAATAGTTGCACCTTAGATGGCCCGTTTAGATGGCCCGTCGCTAATGAACTTTTACGATCCTAGTTGCTACTCACCAAAGTAGGATATAAATACCTTGTCTTTGTAGACTATGTTATGCCAATGGACCATGGTTTTTAAGTCTTATTTTTCAGAGGTAAATGGCTGTGCCATTCTATGGGACACCTCTGGGTAGACTTGAATCTCCTATCTTTGGGTTAGCAGCTGTGTTTCTTGTTTGCACCAGCCAAGGAAAAATTTGATTAGTAATCATCACTGTATAAGAATCTTTTCTCATATTTTTTACATCATGATATGTTTTCATACATTTGCTATATTATTGATTTTGGTTTTGGGAATATACTCAGCAGAACATATACCAAGTAAATAGTTTCTCCATGTCCAATCCAGTGACAGTGATTACATTCTTTGAGATGTGCAGCCATTCTTACTTTCCTATTCTGAGTTGTTCCTTCCCCGTTAATATAAACTCACTGCCCCCTAAGTTTTCTGTCTCATCTTTTGTGTTGCCATTGTTGCATTGTTGTTGTTAAGGGCAGTTCGGTTAGTTCTGACTCAAAGTGAGCCTGTATAGAGTTTTCAAGAAGCAGATCTTAAAAGAATACAGTGTTCATGGAACCCATTCTTTATTAGTTAAGCTAAACTTTTCTATGGTTTTAAGACTTCAGGTAATATAAGGAGGTATCAGAAAGTTTGCAGAAAAATTCCATTATCTTTTAATTCCATTTTCCCCCTGTTTAAAGTCCTTTCATATTTTTGGTTTAATATATAAGGATTATCTCAGGGTAATAGTTTCAGAGGTTCATCTAGCCTCCAGAACTCCAGAAAGCCTGAAGTCTGTGGTAATTTAAAATTCTGTTGTGCATTTCCCCTTTTTTGATAAGGATTCTTTCATAGGATTGTTGATCAAAATAATATCTGAGTATCATGCAGTTCTTAAGATTTCATGCCAAAGGAAGCAGTTTTTGTTGGAGATAATTAGTCACACATTCCATATCTTCCTCCTAGTCTTAACTCTCATGCTTCCTTTTGTTGCTGCAGTTGAATAGAGACCAATTATAGTACACTGCCGCTTGTAAGCTGTTAAGACCTCAGGCGCTACTTAACTGGGATTTTTCCATGAACCCCTGGTCCTAAACCTTGACACCAAGGAACCAAATCCCATGATATGTTCAGAAGCAGCCTCAGAGCTATTATTTTTATTTTCTTAGCTTTGTCATTGTTGTAAATCTATTTGCACACAACTTTTACCATTTCAGCTTTTTATAGGTACAAAACAGCAATTGCATTAATTGGTTGTGCAATCCTGCCCTTAATGCTATTTTTCCAACACCACAAACCAAGAGTCAAAGGTCCATAATCAGTAATCTGCGCTTTCCCCTCCTGCCCGCAGTGACCACTAATAAACTTTGATCTTTATACATTGGCTTGTTTTTGTCTTTTTATATAAGTGGGGCCATGTAATATTAATTCTTTGTGATTGACTTACTGCATTCAGCATAATGTCTTCACTCTGTATCCATATTGTAGCATATTTTAAGACTTCATTTCTCTTACTGGCTAAGTATGCTATCTTATTTTAAAGTAATTCTTGCTCCTTGGAAACCCTATATAGGGTTGCTATGGGTCGGAATCAACTTGATGGCACTTAACAACAACAACAACAAATGTTAATTTACTCTTAGGAAGTTTTGGATTCCAAATCAAATGTTAATGTTTAATAAGGGTCATATGAATGATAAAGTCATATGTATGTTGAAGCTGTATAGGAAAACCTGGGAAGGTGTCAGGGAGAAAATGAAAGAATATAGTAGTTCTCCAGACTTCTAATCTTTATAGCTGTCATGTGTTTTAAAATCTTGTCAAGGCAAGGCTGATGGATTCGGCAAGCAAAGAAACAATGAATCCTTATTAGGTTCAGTTTATTTCTTACATAGACAGCAAAACCTGCAGTAACCAGTGTGCCAGCTTTCTGTGCCCCTTGACTCATAGGATGGCATTAAAACAAAAGGGACCAGATGGCTGCACTTGGATGGCAGGATGCCTTGTACTGAGGAGTCAATCCTGCAGCTAAGCAGTCTTACAGCCTATAGGCATATCCTTAGGAGGGCTAGACAGAAAGCTTCATAGCTCACTGTAACCTGGGAGATGATGAGAAATTTCATGACACTGCCTAAGAAGATACAGAGACAAGTGGGAAATGACTTAGTAGCAACTCTTCAGCAGCCTCCCGTGCTCTTGTTCTATGAGGACTGTTCTAGTAAGACTTAGGTGGTGTTAAGTTTGATTTTGCCTTGTCTGTATGGCCTGTGTGCATACATGCAGGGTTGTCTAGGCGACACCATGGTGGAGCTGTTCCCTTACTCCACTGATTTCGCTTGCATGAAATATACACATTTAATGGTGGTTAAAAACTTCTCTAAGGACAGAATCAGTCATTTGTGTTGCTGCTTTTACATTTTAAGATTTTAAATTAGTAATAATGATGTAAAGATACCTGTTATTCATGTAATCGTTTGGGAAGTATTTATGCCTGTTAATTCAAGAATGAAAACATGAAGCTTTTGGTGAAGCTCTTTTTGGAGTTGAGTATGTCTTCATAACCCCCTTTCTCTGCCTTTTGATACTTCAGAATCCTCTGTTTGGGTCTACCTTCCTTATTTCTAGTTTTGTTGTTGAAGACGAGAATAGTGTAGTACTCCCTTTTTTTCCCGCAGAATGTATTTGGTAGTTTATTTTTTTAAGATGTTTTTAAAATAGGGCAGCCACATAATTGATCTCACCAGTAGAGATCATTTCACAGATGAGACATCTGAGGGCCAGAGAGGTAACAGCTATGTGTGTGGAAGTGTGTGAGCATATTTATGCACATATGCAGTTAATCCTTGAACAACGTGTGGGTTAGGGACACCAACATGCATGCAGGCGAAAATCCACACAGAACTTTTAATTCCTCCCAAACTTAATTACTAATACGCCTACTGTTAAGCAGAAGCTTTACGCATAACATAGTCAATGAAGACAGATTTTGTATGTTATATGTATTAGATACTGCATTCACAAACAGACTGCATTTTCAATATGAGATAAACGTATTTCACAAAGAGTGCAAGGTTTTCACACCTGCTGGCAAAGCTCCAATGATAGTTTAACAAATTTAATTTTCTTTATGTACAGTGGTCAATATGCTGGCATCATTTATCTTGAAATGGTAAGAAACTGCAACAGCATATGCCAGTCTACTGTGCACATCAAGCAATTCAGTTTTTTCTTGTATTGTCATGACTTTTCTCTGCTTCTTGGGAGCCCATCCAGCATCACTAGGGACATTTTTTTTTTTAAATGGGTTCCAGGGTGCTGTTCAAGGTTTATGATATTTTACTAAACAGGATGAAAAATAATGTAAGAGCTTTGAGAAATCACTTTTTACTGTAATAATTAGTTTAATGGAGAGATGAGCTGCTCATGCGGAGATGATAGTGTCACATAGCATTTTAAAATACAATAATAAGTAGACCTGTGTACTTCAGACCTGTGTTGTTCAGGTCAACTGTACTTAGAGAATAAGAGATTTGACAAATTTACTCTTCCTCTTATTATAGAAAATTAGCAAATATACAGAGATGTAAATAAGACAGGTAAGTTTTAAATCCATCTTTCAGAGATAACATTAATATTTTACTGTCTTCCTCTTCTTTTTTTTTAATATGTCCACGCACAAATTCAAATCCTTATACTCTTAACAAATTAGCATCATACCCAAATGTGGTTCTAGTCTGCTTTTGCCATTTCTATTGTAAATATTTTCCCATGCATTAAATATCCTCTGAATACTCGTGTTTTAGGGCTTCATATTATTTAATGTCATAGATATTTCATATTATACGAGGAGACTTCAAAAAGTTCATTATATTTACATTAAAAATTTCCAGGGAATTTTTGAAGTCCTCTTGTATTTATTCTTATTCTGTGGTTGATCAATACAATGTTTTTATTTTTTTACTACTGTAAATAATGCTGTGATGAATACCCTATTAGATAGTTTATATCATTCAGCTTTTATTTCAGCAAACATTCATTGAAGCACTTCTGTGTGAAGACTTCTTGGGGAAATAGAGATGAGAGCTATAGAGCCTTACTTAAAACATACATAGGGAAATAAAGAGAAATTTAGAATATAGCTGTGACAATATTATAGTAGCGATATGCGTAGAATTTGAGAAGAACCATAATGAGAAGGGAGGAAAAACCTCCTGGGAAAGGTTTTCTTTAGGTGACAATTGTTGAAGGATAATTAACATCAGCAGTATGAGTACTTGGGCTTTATAAAGGTGATGCAGTTTTTACAGGACTGGGAAGCGGAGAGGGCCATGAGAGCTGGAGATCGAAGGTGTGCAGATCAGTCTCCTTTACCAAGTCTAAGGCAGTAGCAGTGGAATTGAATGGTGGAGGGAAGAGGACTTTCAACCATATTTGAGGGTATGTGTTTAGGGAGATGTGAGGATCTGTTATGGGCCCCAGGGCGTTCTGTCCCTGATTGGTGGTACAGTTCAGTAGAGATTGGTATTTTGGAAGGAAAGGATGAAAAAAAAAAAATCTTTTCTGTTCTTTGGCAAAAGTAAATTCATGGTAAGGGATAAAAAATTCATTTATCAGACAGTACTTACTATAAAAAAAGTTTAACTTTTTGTTTTCTTTTTTCTGTGGAAAGCGTTTGAATGAGTTGTTAATTATCTTTCCCCATGTTTAGGCTAAAGCTGATTTTGAAAAAGGAGAAAGACGTAAAGAACTTAAGCGACTTCGGGGTGAGGATACATGGATGTTACCTGATGTGAACGAGCGAATTGCACAGTTTTCACAGGTGAATACTAGCATGTTTTCCTGATATAAGCACATCTGTCTTTTTTTTGTATTTATTCAAGTTACTATTGTAAGAACAACTTCATAGAATAGTTTCATAAGTACAAGAATGGGTATCATGTGGTGGTTTTGTGCTGTGGAGTCAGTTCAGACTCATAGCAACTCTGTATAAGGTTTCTGATACTGTAAATCTTTATGGGAACAGAAAGCCTCTTTTTCCCAAAAGCTGTTAGATTTCAACTGCTGGCCTTAAGATAAGTGGCCCAATGCATAACCCACTGCACTACCAGAGCTCCTGGTCACATAATTGGCATTACATTTTCCCAACACTTAATGTACTGCACCACCAGGGCTCCTTATAGTGGATATGCCGCGGAGTCGGTGCCAACTTATAGCAACCCTCTATAGGTTTCTGAGGCGTGTTTGGTGAGTTTGAACTGCCAACCTTAACTTGCAGTGCTATATACCGGGCAGTGCTTCATTCTGTTGTACATACTGCTACGAGTCAGTACCATCTCGACAGCACCTAACAACATATATGTATGTTATGTGAGTATGTTGTTGTTAGGTGCCGTTAAGTCTGTTCTGACTCATAGTGACCCTGTATAGCATTTCCAAGGATCGTCTGGTGTGCTTGAACTGCCGATCTTGTGGTTCAAACAAACCTTGCAGTCCAGTGCATTAACCTGCAATTGATATGAGGATTCCAGAACACTTAATTGTACTCATGCAGAACTTGTACATAAATCAAGAAACAATCATTAGAACAGAGCAAGGGGATACTAAGTGGTTTAAAATCAGGAAAGGTGTATCTTTTCACCATACTTATTCAATCTGTATGCTGAGCATATCATCTAAGAAACTGAACTATATGAAGAAGAATGCAGTGTCAGGACTGGAGGAAGGTTCATTAACACACTGCAGTATGTAGATGACACAACCTTGCATGTTGAAAGTGAAGAGAACTTGAAGTACTTACAAAGACCAAAGACTACAACATACAGTATGGATTGCACCTGGATTAAAGAAAACAAAACTCCTCACAACTGGAGCAGTAAACAGCATCATGATAAATGGGGAAAAGATTGAAGTTGTTAAGGATTTCACTTTACTTGGATCCACAATCAATGCCCATGGAAGCAGCAGTCAATAAATTAAAAGACATGGGGGCTATAGCAGTGCGAAAACCAGGTGGGGCATGCTTCGGTGAGAAGGGAGGGGATTCTCACGAAGGAAGTGTTAATAGAACAACTCCAGAGCTCCGGATCTATCATAAGATCCAGGACGTCAGTTTCCCGCACTTGCAAGTGAAAAAAATCACAATATTAAGGAAAATACAGGCGACTTAGGAATCTGGAGACTGGACTCCCTCCCTCGGCGACTACCCCGCCCCAGCAGAGTTTAGAGGGTGGGGCTAAAACCAGCCTGGCTCAGAAAACGGCGCTTTCAGCACACACACACACACACACAAAAAAAAAGAGATGCGGGAGACTACACATTTCTCCCTCTTTCTCTCCCTGTCCCATCGTCATTTCTCAGCCTGGGCATCAGGCAGGACAGTTTTCCCACTGTACAGAGAGAGGGAGCTTGGTGGCAATTTATGATGTCACCTGCGGACCCATGGATCCAAAAGTTTCCCAGATGAACCCCTCGTGTCAGTGCAGCTTATGAATAGGTTCTGACCACAAGCGACTCGTGCACCTGTGTGGGGTTCTGAGGCTATGGGTCTGAGCGGGGGCAGGGCGCCTCTCCTTTCTTCCGGGTAGCAGCTTGGAATTTCCAGCTATTGCCCTTGCAATCCGCTGCCCAAGCTCCCTGGGCAGGACCAATTCAAAGCAATCTGTAAAACCCCAGCATAA